GTATTCAGCCTGCCCTGTGCTTCTTAGTGCATACATGCACGCAAGCACAACACAAGGGAACAGAAGCACACACACACACACACAGATGCAACATAGATACCTCCTCTGGCTACTGCTCGTAAAGGGGTTGAAAAGAATTCCAGAAGCCTTGCTCTGCATGTTTTCCCTATATTATTAAAGAACCATCTGGCCACTACTGATTACCCAGTTCTATAAAAAGTAAAACATAAAGTACAAGAAGATTGTCAAGCAACTGATATGCTTTGAGAGCTGATTGCCCTATACATTAAATTCCTCTCTCCTTTCAAGAAGCCATGAAGGAAAGGACAAGAAACAGTAATGTAACTCAGTGGCACAAATATATCTGAGAGACATGTTCTGAAGACTTGTTGAAAATGCCCCCTGTTTATGGGGAACAAACTGTTTGGGTTTGTTTTTTCCTGTTTCCAGCGTTGTATTCTTTGATAATGCTGATAATTGGCTATTGGCATCAGTAGCTTTCACCAACCTGGTACTCTCAGCTATCTCGAAATAGCAACTATTTGAATTCAGGGAGTTACTACCCTATCACGTTTGGAGGACAATTAGGTACAAACCAACCATCCTCTTCTTATGTTCTGAAATACGGCATCCTCGCTTGAAGAAATGTGTTTATCCAGAAATAACATGGGAGCTTTTTCTATTCCAACATTCACAAGTTGAGCAAAATGTTTCATTTGTTTATTTAATTATTACATTTATGTCCCCCTCCTTTTTTTTCCTGAGAGTTGAAGGCAGGAAAATTGGGCTCCCCTAATTTTATCCCTACATGAATCCTGTGAGGTAGGTTGGGCTGAGAGAAAATGACTGACCCCCAAGTCACCAAGTCGGTAGAGATTTAAACCTGCATCACCCTGGTTCAAGTCCAATGTCTTAAGCACCATACTCTTGAATTCCGTTCTCTATTAGAGCCATTCAAACTCAAGGTTAACTTCTAGCTTTAAAGTATACTCTAGCAGCACTTAAAATCCAATCTCAAGAGATGCTTAGAGTGATATAGCATCTCATCCTTGAGAGTAAACTGAAGGGAGAAGTCTGATTAACATATAGTAGCCAATCATAATGATACCTCACAGCCACATTGGCCAACTGTAATTAAGACCCCTAAACTTAAGGGCCTGCTCCCTTACCCTGTTTTTGCATACAGATGCCCAGATAGGCCCCTTTATATTGAAAAGCTATGGAACCAGGAGATGCCTCTAGAGGCAGAGTTGCACATGCCACCAGTTTCACCATGCAGGTCTTTCCCAGCTGCAGAGTGATCATGTACACATTTGCAGGAAAAGCAGGCATGCTTGGAGCCAAAATGAGTAGGGTACTTAGCATCCCTGTTACAACACTCCCCCCAGTCTCTGTCCTGGCTCATAGGTTCTGCATGGAACTTACCTGAGTCCCAAAGGTTCCCTCACTGCAAACTTTATTTCATTGCCCAAGACTTGACTGATCTGAAATTCAATTGAACAAAATGAAGAAACTGACTCAAAGCCACCCTGCAAAAACACTGAGAGAAAAAAAAAGGCATACAAATTACATTTCTGGTACACGAAAAAGGAACAATAAACAATATTTGCTGAGGTGAAACTGTGACTACTAAAATAGCTCACTGATGCTCTAAACCACCTTATACCAGTTTCTACTCTCTTAATGTGTTGTCTACAACATTATTCACATTGTCAACTAATTACAGACCTAACACATCTAGAGAGTGCAAGTTTGGAGAAGGATTGGTCTAAACAAATGGTAAATAGGTTGTCTACATCCAAGTCAATAGTCACCCTTTGTATAGAATGACCAGCATCAGCCTTCAGATGCCAGGAAAGGCAGGATGTTGAACTGATGGTATGGCTGAGGGCTGGGTCAACAACTTCAAGCTGCCTGTCTATGGGAAGTGGACAGCTAATTCTAACTGTAGAAAAGTTTGGAATCTGAAATATAAGAAGTTGCTATATGCAGATTCAGAGAAGCTCTAACTCATTATCCCCTTTGCTGTGTCTGTGATAGCAATTCTCCAGGGATTCAAATGTCTTGTGTGGTCCTGCTAAAGATGTCTGAAATTGACTCTGGTTTTTGTTTTTGTCTTTGGTTTTTTTGCACAAATAAAATGTGATGTACCACTTGCTTATGGTCCTTCTGCAAGCATCTTGGGGAAATAGCATGGTCTGGGTTGTGCAAATTTGAACAAGAAAGTGGGAGAAGGGGAAATGAGAGCAAAGAAACTCAATGTTCTACCCTTAACTGCCTGAAAAACAAACAGTCCCAGGTGACTCAAGAAAGTTGAGGAAGCCACAAAAACTTTCAAAACATCCTTTTTCCAATCGGTTAAAAAAAATATTGCACAGATTTTGATTTAAAAAACTTAAATACAAAAGGCAAAGAAATACCAGTGCCAAAAATTGTGGAATCCGTAGAAAGTCATTTGAATGAGACGGCAATTTACCAGTGCTCCTTATAGGTTACATATAATGCAGCATTCCCAACATAGTTCAGTACTTACTAGGATGATTGCTCTCACCCCAGGGGAGAGAACCAGCAAACATTTAGTATTTTCCCAATGGGTTGTGCTCAATATTCACTACAGGCAAAGCAATGGATTTTAGTTTTAAGACAAAACACAGTGAGTTTAAAGGCAAAATGTTGTACCCTCTTGCACAGATGGAAGTTCCCAATGGCTGAACAATGATTACCCCAGCAAAGTGTCTCTGGATAGATCAGCCAAGCAACTACAAATCACAGGAAAGAGAGAGGCCCAAGGAAGCAAGAACAAAGGCAATTTAAACAGCCTTCAGTTGCTTCCTGCCATCTCCAGCTTAGCACTATCAGCTGGGGAAGCACAGTTTGCATATGCAATGCATCATTATTTCCTGCATTTAGCAAGTAATACAAAAGAAACTGAAAAGTTGGCAAGAGAAAAAAATAGGGTAGCTTCCTCCAAGCTCATCTTGGAGGACCTGCTGGATAGGCCAAAGCTCCACTACTTTACTGAGTAATGGGGTAGCTTTAGAGAAGGAGTCACCTTTGAAAGAATAATTATAGGTAGATTGATTTCTCCAACAGAATAAAACAACACCCCTCATCTTAGACAGGGAGATCAATTTCCTCTTCAAGAAAATAATATTCTTTGGGGGTGGAGTGGAAATGCACAGAAAACCACCAAGCCCTAGAGATAGAGCTCCCAAGCTTTGGGATTCTACACTCTAAAGCCAGTGCATTATTATGTAGAAAGCAAGATTGTTTTCCTTATGTGAAGTTTAAGCCTCACATGCTAATAAGAGCTTTGTCTAAGCATGGACACGTTCAGGACATATCAAATGAGTTACTCTTGCTCACAGGTCCTCTTACTGTTCGAAGTTCTGAGAACTCTTAGTCAGAAGTCTAGTTTTTGTCTGAAAGTTGTCATAGTTTTAGAGAGACAGAAATTTGAAACTATCTACATTAGGGCAGAATTGGCAAAGAAAAAAATTATCCGTGAAATAAAATTGAGCACTAAATGATTTCTTTACAGAAATGGTTTTCCCTTCTATAACACTGTATGGGTTCTTTCCAATGACCTTTTAAATCTATCAGCATTTTAAGGTGGTTCCATTTTTCAAAAAAGGGTGCTGCCGTTCCACTCAGAACAGAAAAGGCTACATACATGAAAGGCACCTGTTCAGAAAGTCATCCAACAAGCATCATTCCAAGTAAGTTGCTAAGCAACTGCTGGGGTTCAATGACAAAAGGTCAATCCATTAATTAAAAACACACTGGTTGTAAGAAAGAGAGTTCACACAGAGCAATGGACATTGCAATCACATGGACCCAAGAACCTTCTCCTTGCTTTAATAAAATCACAAGGAGAATAAGCTGCTCTTCTGGAAAGGGTGATGAAAATCTAGAGGAGAAAAAGGGAAGGGCACACAGTGGCAAAGGAAGCTGGATTAAAATAGCCCTGGAAAATCCCAGGCCCAAAGGCAGTATATATGCCTAAATCCATCATGCAGCATTGGCCCAAACAGAAAGCGTCCGACTTGCCTGGGACATTCTAGGCTTACTTGCCAAAATAAAGGAGCAAAACATTACCCTTTCCTTGGACAACTGGGATTTTGAATTTTGCCATAAAAGGCACCCCCTGCGTTTTTTTTAAAAAAAAAAAAAAAAAAAAAAAAAAAAAAACAACTTGCAACGTTGGCTGTAGAATTCTCCCTCTTGGGTCCTATTAAAATGCATTCATTCAGCAATGAATCAACATCAGCAAGCTCTCAGCCACTAATGTTTCCTTTTATTTTTCTTCCTTTTCCTTTGCAGCTTTTGCCCAAGGTCCTTTCAGTCAGGACAAAACATTTCATTTTTGTTTTTAAATAAGGAGCAGACACCAAGGATTACAGTTAGAAGCGGGCGCTGCAATAAGGGGAAGGTGGGGGAGGGCAGACAGAGAACTGTATAAGCTCTTCCTTTCTGCTATTTTACCCATTCAAAGAGGAGACACTCAGAGGAATCTCCCGCACAGCTCAGTTAAAGTGCTATCCACCAATCTTAATGCTGGAAGGAAATTTACCAGCATAAAATGTGCTGATGCTACTGCAATTTCTATCCTGCCACAGGAAGGGTCTCATAAATGGTGGCACACTTTGCAGCCCTTTTACCACTTCTACAACCCATGGTCAGCTGCTACTTCTAATTCCAAGCTCACTGGTGAGTGTGTGAGAGAGCCCAGTTTGAAACATGTGGACCAGAAGGCAATGCCCACAAACCAGTACATCAACTTAAAGCAGCCAACAGGCGTGACGCTGATTCCACAGAGTTACCTGACAAAACGGTCAATGAAGCTGCCTTGGCTGATACCTGGTTTAAGAGGAATAACTACTTTAACTGTGGAATAACTAAGGATGATGTTAAGCTGCCTCAGATATGAGTTGTGGATGAGATGAAGGAATATCATGAAGACATGGCAGAAAAGAGAGCTAACCAGGGCATGTTTATACCACACGGATTAAGCTCTGTAGCTGACTTCAAAAGTCATTTTTTCCCAATTTAAGGTAAATAAGAAATTTTAAAATCCTCATCAAAATTTGCACTAACTGATATGTAGTACACACACATTCACATTTCACCATGTGTTAACTGTTCATGCCAGCTGGGTTGCAACCAAGCCAGCCTTGGTTAATTTCAGAAGATCAAGACTATACAAGGTTTGATGTGGCTAATACTTGGGTGGGAAATCATCAGGCAATACTAGGACTGTAGGCTAGTCTGAAAGTTGCTAAAACATTTTGGAAGGTAGCAATAAATTAGCTGCACACTTCTTGGTCAATTCCCTTTAAGGGATCTGATGCTTTGTAGCACATCATCGATCAAAGACAAAAACAGATAATATGGGAACATTGTGAGAAAAAGATGTAAAAGGGGAAGAGGAGAGATATGATAGCTATACTGAAAAAAAGAGGAACTTTTGTGAGTTACCTAGAAATCAAAGCTCTCTCTTCTTTGAGTTTAGAGAACCATAGGTTTTCCTACACCTACAAAGACATGTCTCTAATGAGGTGAGAACAGCAGCTTCAACCATCCACCCCCTCACAATTCCCATCCACTGCTGAGATCTATCCTCAAGCTTTTGCAATTAGTTCACATACACAACAGTTCTGTATGTGTCAATAGAAAGGGGAGGGTTATGCAATTGATGAGAAACACACTGAATTCAACTTAAGTTATAAAATTAGGGGGACCCAAAGCAATAAATACAGACTATGAATTTCCATTTTCTCCTGTCTCATCTGCCTTGCCTCTCATGTGCAGTTTCATTCCTTCCACCCAGGCTTAAATCCAGCATTTCTTCTCTGCCATTAACTGGTTCTCTGTTTCCATCCCCATCATTCAACCCCCTTCTTTCTAAATATCAACATAAAGAGGGCTGATTTTTGAATCTTAAGGTTTGTTGAAATGCTGCTTCAAACACAGCTGAAATCATGGTTTCCAAAAACTCATGTATGCAACCTGTCAATACTAACTTCTGCTAACAATTCTGAAAAGTTTGCCCTGCAAGTGTGTCAGCACTATCAGCAGATTGGTCCTATATTCCAAGATATCTTTCTACAACACAGCCTGCAGAGATTGTTCATAACCACCTTCCTTCTTCACATATGTATTCTGCAATCACCCTTCCTTTCTGATCAAATACAATCTTTGCTTGATTAATTAGGTTAACAATCCCCAATCCCCAATGATGGATTCAAGAAGGGACATTTTTGCTTGTAGGTGATGACCAAACAAGATCAACATAAAGCCTCAAGAAACAAAGATTAATGAAGATAGAGAGACTTTCTTTCCCTCACCAAGGGACACAATCGTTCAGAAGTAACATGTCAGGGGACAGAGCTGACTCTTATTAAGTTTGAATCATCCTACATACACACACCCTTTGATATCAGGGTTGGAAAACATCTGTACTGCCTGAATACAGATCACATCACCCTTTATGTTGGCTGAGACTGACAGAAATTCGAGTCTAACAACATCCAGGGGCCATTGGCTTAAATTTCATCAACTCTCTCATTTTCTTTTTAGAATCTTGGAGGAAATAAGAACCTTAAAATAACATAATTAGTCCCCAAACACACTTACCCTCTCTGTCTCAGACACACTCATTTTACCTGATTAACATTAATGGTGTGTTTCAAGCAGATTTACCTTCTTCCATAGAATGACAGTTCAGATTTTGGATGTTTTTATGAACACAGCATATTCATAGTAGGTAGGTAACTTTATAGAGATCAATCTACAGTGGAACCTCGGTTTACGAACTTAATTCGTTCCGTGACTCTGGCCGCAACCTGAATTGGTCGCAACCCGAA